CTTTCATCTTGTATTATAAGAAGTCATAGAGCTTCTCCTTGTTATCCTTCGTTACTTTTTGTCCAAAAAGACTGACCGTTTCTTCTGTATCTCTCTCTTTAATTATAAAATTCTTCTTCCGGAAATTCTCCTTTCAGAGGGACCAGTTTCTTCACTTCTCTGTACAGCTTGCTCAAGTAAGTTTTTGATTATTCGCTGTATGAGTTGCTGAATTTTTTTTTGATTTTTTGGAGCTGATTTGGAAGTGATGGACTCTTCTCCACAGAAGTCCTGCTAGGAGCAGCAGCGCCGGCGAGGAGCACGCCAGCCGACAGCCCGATCGTCCCCTCCCTTTTCCCGGCGAGTTTCAGGCAACCAACAACCGTCAGCAAGAGCTGGACGGCGTCCAGCGAGGCAGCAGCTCCGACCAACGACGCAGGGACGCCGAGCAACACCTACAAATCGGTTTAGTCAGTTTAGAGCTTTGTGACCATGGTTTATTAAATAGGTCTGCTAAGATTCATCTCAGGTACGAATTTCTTCATTTAAATGGCTATGTATGTCACCTTTAAGCACGAGAACTTACTGATTAGATCTTAAAGTTTTGAATTTAATTTAAGCATGGTTAGGCCCAGCATTACAGTTCGGACTAATGCAGGTTCTGCAAAGATCCTCTCCGAAGAATTCAGGATTAGTCACTGAGTTGTTTATTGGAGTTTTAAGGCTACTGTATTCGGAGTCTCTACTTTCTTGTCTTTGTCTGCTTTGTTTATTGGAGCTTTTTTTGTGTGAGTTTGATATTAACAAGTTCCGATAATAGTACTCTGCATATAAAAAATCCATATTTTTGGTTCTTGATTTGATCATTTCTGTTTCAATTGATCATTATAAGTAGGTGCTTCTTTGTCATGATCCTCAACTAAGCGTTTATCGCTACTTTATAAAGTATGTACGCGGTCATGAAAGAAAGCCAGTCCTTTAGATAGACTGCTCCATCGATAGTTTTTGGGTCATCAAGATCGACTTCTCCTCTTGCTCAAGTACAGAATTAACCTCTTGTTCCTGAATTCTTCTGCTATAACTTCAGTGACAGATCTTTGCAAATTTCTGGTTATATGTGACTTGTGGGAGTCACTCCTTTATATATAAGATAATAAAATGGATTATGTCAATAAGATAGTGAGAAGAATATATATATTGATCTTTGCTGTTAACAGTGACATCATTTAGGGCTCTAAATACATTAACCCCCCCCCCCCCCCCCCCCCCCCCCCGCGACTAACTTTGGATTGATTTGTCTGGGAAATTTCAAACTTGCAGTGTCTATCAATCACACAAATAGATATTTATTCTTCATGTCATCAAATTTTCTCATTACACTCGGTTGGTGATCCTCGTTGTCAGCCTCTTTTTATACATTTGATTTCTGTTTCCCATTGCTTGCTCCAAATTGGGCCCATGCTCAGCACAGGAACCCCTTACATATTTTTGAAAAGACAATAAACAACTTACATTCGGTTTTGCAGGAGAAACCAAGGAGTATGAGATACAATTTCGAGGAGGAGGATGGTGGCCGTCAATCTGAAGATGTGGAATGGCTACCCTTACAACACCACCCTGTTTTTTCTACTCCGCCGGACAGGGATAGGGATGGAGACAGGGCCTTGACAATGCCCAAAAATCTTTTAGCATGGGACGGAGCTTCTCGTCTCTACTTTTGGGACTCCTACAAAACCTGTTTGCATCGACTCTCTCTTCGATTGGGCGAACCTGATCCAACTTCTCTCCTTGCAGCTTCTCCCTCTAAGGTAACTTCTTATGTACAAATCTCCATTCCATGTTTATGTTTTACTTCTCTTAGCAAACTGAAGTTGACTGCTCGAATAGAGGAGGGTTATAACATTTTCAACAATCTACTTGTAAAATATAGGGATTAGTTGATTCAAAGGTGACAACAATAGTTGACCTATGCTGGTTTGACTGATTTTCAACTTATATTGCACCTTTAACTTGCATAGCCCCACACCGCCATTCCTCTCTGATTATTAAATATTTAATTCAGCCCCAATGTTCAATCCACTTCTTTCATTCTTTCTCGTTCCTCCCTTATTTTAAAAACCCAAAAGAATCTTACCAGTTTCCAAAAAACAAACCCAAAAGAGGGAGAAACGGATTCATCACCAATATTTTAAGTGCATTGGTACCACTTCTACCTGATATCAAGCTACTAATTGTTCTAGCTACGTATTTGATGGTGCTGGTTGTTGCTTAGGTATTGCAAGCTGATGTGCAATTGAATTCTGAGGTTCAGCGAATTTCCATTAACAGAAATGGATCAGCACTGTTCCTAATTAGCTTGGATGGTTTATACGTCATGTATCTCTATGGGAGGACTTCGACAAAAGAAAATACAATTATTTGCCGGTATAACTTCCTCATTTTGGTTTTGTATGGTTATGTTTTCTTTGGATTCCAGTGTGTTTCAAAAACAATAGTGTTATTGTAATTCGTAACTATTTTTCATTTGAAATGTACATTCTCCTATATCTTCGGAGTTCAGAAGCATCTTATGTATTTAACTAGTCCTATGCACTCTATTCCTGGTTGGCTGGAGGAAATTATGAATTTTCTGGTATAGCTACCTGCCCTTTTTTAAAAAAAATTAATTCTGGATGTAGCATCTTTTTTGAGAACTGTTCTTGATCTTGCATCTCAGCAT